TATTAATAAAATGCAAGGAGTCTATGCAACCAATCTTATCCTTTTCAAGGGAATGGTAACATTATAACTATGAGCCTTAGAATGTGGGTTAGTGGTTTTAACACTTTAAAGTTACTAATTTATATGGTTTTTTAAAATTAAATAATCAAATTTAACTCTTTAAAATATAAATAATAAAATACTAAATCATTAATAGTTAAATTTAAATTAAACACCCCTTCAGCCTGTAATAAACAAACCTCATAAAATAAAGAAACTTAAATAATAAATCCTTTAGACATATCAAAGCCACAGGGCCACCTTCAAATAGTGCAGATGGTTTGTTAGGACTACGAACTCTATTTTAGGTTAGGTCGGTGCTTTGATTTAGTTTGCTTGTGGAGTGCCTTGCTTAGAGGGTACTCATGTTTGGTGTGTTTACTTTCTTATACTCTAGATGTCATGTTTATTTTATATTGGTGCACACTTAGAGTAGGCTCTTACGCCATTTTACTTTCATATACACACTTGCACAACATCATACATTATATATTTTATATATTGTTCTTTATATTCTTGCAAAAATAGAATGTTGTTAGGAAATTATGTAAATATCAAGATAGATATAAAAGTAAATAATCTAGAGTTTGTATATAATTATATCGAGTTATAAAGCATCAAGAGTTATAAATATTTAAATGTGATTATTTATACATATATATGTTCTAGAAGGAAATGATTCTCCTTCCTTGTTACTTTTAGAATTCTATAGAAGATTCAATAGTCAAAGGATCCTAAGGAGAAATAAATAATCACATTTAAATCTCTATATTTCATAGATGTAGAAATCTAGATTTATTATGGTGGAGCCTAACCATGTTTAATTTCCTACAAACCTTGGGTTGTACTCTAAAATTCATTAATAAATAAAAGTTTTATTTTGTACATTCTTCTTTACATTTCATTTCATTACACGATCATATTCATATTGTCTAGTCTTGAGTGTAAAGTTTTCTAAATCATAACTTTTTTATTTTAGGATATTATCCATAAGGTTATGCCTTTGTGATGTCAGTTGTCACCTAGGGAATGATTCATAGATATGTAAGAAAGTACAATATGTTGTAAGTAAAAATATGTCATAAGGTTCAAGCAGTGCCTGTTGAGTCGGTACCTCAGTTAGCACTTCACCTTGATTGTTGTCGATAACAACGATGGTTCTTTATAGATGATTTTGCCAAAAGTTGTATTTTATCAGTTTTATACACATCATGTTCTAACAAAATCTCTTCAATACTAATTACTTTATTTCAAGCCGTCCAACCCTACCATATCAAGTTTATCCATATAATTTAAAATAGATTTAAATAATATCTGCATTTCCGTATGCACTGAGATGCAAGCGTCATCATAAGTGGAGGTTGGGCTTCCAATAATTTTTTAATGCATAAGTAAAGATGAGAATTGTTGGGGAGAATGAGAGAGACTAGTGTAAGAATGATCAATGAATGAGAAGAGATATGAATTTATAAATACCCTTATACACAGCTTGTATATAAGTTACAGACAGGTTAACTATGTACAAGCTTGTACACATGCTATGTACAAGCTTGTATACGTCCTGTGTATAAGTCATACACATTTCGTGTATAAGTTGTACATAGGCCGTATATACAAAAAAATTATATGTACCATTATACATACACATGTATAAGTTGACACACATTGTGTATAAATATTGTACACGCCATGTGTATAAGTTGTACACTAACTGTATATAAGTTTATTTATATCCGATGTACAACATATAGGCAGAGATGTGTATAAGATGAGCACATTAAATTACCTATCCTATTATGTATGGGGAAGCATGTGTACCTGAATATTCTTTAGTTCATTAAATAATTTAGACACCACATGGATGGATGTATAAAAAATATTTTTTCCCCAGTAAATTAATCATGGTATTGAGTTATTTATTTTAGGTACAATAATGGATGTGTGCTGTAGAAAATATTTTTTCATAAAATCAAGATGTAACATTAGATGAAGTAATAATTAGAGATATACTTAAATGCTATTAGCACTCACCATTAGTAAAGGTACAAATCTATTTATATAACCAAGTGGGTTCTCCGTAGCAAACCTAATGGCCATCATATCAAATTGAGAAACTAAAAAAATTCTAATGACCCTACTAGTTGTATCTTAAGAACTCAACTATATTCTGGACAACAATAATAAGCTTCTTCAGGATTTTGTAGTTATGAAGGGGAAAGAATAAATTGGATAACAAAAATAGTATGTACTTATTTGCAATAGCGGTAAACTGCTTGGATTTGTTGATGCTTTTCTTTTTATTTTTAATATATATTATAGAATATGTTGTTAGTGGTTCTGCTTTCCAGCATATAGCTGAACCTTTATTTGATAATCCAGTATGTATAACCACATCATCAACATTGAATCGTAGCTCTTGTCCTTTGATCATGAAGGCTTGCCTGCTCACATCCCACAATGATAACAATATGTATATCAGGGGAACATCCTACTGAAATGTAGGGAACTTTAGAAATTGAAATATGTTTAGTTTCTTTAATACCTCCTCAACTTCCTTGTTGACTACCCCATATGAGTCATAGTTTGCTCCAAATGTTGAGGGTTTGCAATGGAGAGTAGTCTTTGGAGTATATATTTGAAAACATGTGTACAAGTGCGAACAAAAAACTAATATAGTATGAATATAATACACAACCAACAAAATATAGAGCTGTGTATAAATTTTTAGTATTTGCAAACATATGTACAAGTGCAAACATGTATACAAGTGCCAACAAAATCTTATGTTTGATATATAAAAAGTCCCAATTTATTCTAGGATTGACATCATAATAATAATTATCAGTCATAAGTAGCTTAGAAAGATGCAAATATATATTTTCGGACTCTGCAAGCTTTGACGTTTGAAAATAGGGGGGCAACTGATATATCATCAAAAAAATACCTTGATCGAGCACGAATCTCAAGGCAAAATTAAGTTGGAAACTTCAAAAATTAAATCGGAGACCATCTGAATTTTGATTTTAGCAAACTTATAATCAAACTGAGCGTCTTGGAAACATGAACCCAACGACACCAAAATCGACCCAATCCGAGCCCAAAAGAGTCCAAATAAAAGACACGAAGCACTTTTGGAAGGATCAAACCACAATTTGTGTACCAAACAATCTCTAATCATGACATGCTTCTAGTCGAATCGAGCGGCTCGACGAGACAAATCCAACGAGCCTAAGATCACCAAATTTTGATATCATTAAGATAACCAAAGGTCCATTAAACGGTAAATGATGGTAGGAATCAAGATCGGCCGTCCATTCGAAACACTCCCAATTTACCCTTGATCCTTCCACTTATTTACAAGCCATGCCACTCAAGAATTCTATAAATAGAACCTCATTTCCTCTTGAAGAAGAGGAAGAAGCCAAGAGAGAAGAAGGAAGAGCAGGAAGAAAGCTCCAGTCGCTTAGCTCCTCCTCGACCTTCGTCGGACCACCAAGGGACACCGGGGTTCTGCCGCACCAATTCCGGACATCGGGGTTCTGCCGCACCAACGTCGGAGTTTTGCTGCACCACCGCCGGACCACCAAGGGACACCGGGGTTCTTCCGCACCACCACCGGACCACCTAGGAATGTCGGAGTTGTGTCAAACCACTATCAGACCATCAAAGGACATCGAAGTGTCACCAGAAGATGGAGTACCCCCTGACTCTGAAGTGCCACTACCAGACCACCACCTGACGTTGGAGTGACGCTGGACTTTTACGAAACTTTCGGTTGACATTTATAATCTGGTCATCTTCAAGGATGAGTCAGACCATTATACTTTACTCAAATTCTAGTGGGAATCATTTTCAACTGGGTTAGGCCCCGTGGTTTTTCCCTTTCCCGAGTTTTTCATGTAAGAAAAATATTGTGTTTTCTGTGTGTGAGCTGTATATCCGTGCAACTCTAAGACATAAGATTATAACTCAATCTCCGCGTATATTCTAGCCCGCAACAATACACATTCGTTAAAAAATTCTAAACCTTATTTCTCATTCATAATACACCATTTATAGAGAAATGTCACACATAGTATTTATAAGTGCAAAACTAATGATATGTAAATATTGGAGAAATACATACCGTACATAAATTATACATATACATAATATACATATTAGTTAAAAAAATCCTAAACTTAATTTCTCCTTCATACACCCTAAATAGAGAAATTCCTGACAAAGGGAAAATGCAGCTTCCTAGTTCATTTCTTCTTTTATAAAATATATTGATAAAATGTTATCTTGATCAAGCTCACTCTCAGCTTAAATCTGACATTGTGAATATGGCTACTGGATGACGTCTAGAAAGGATAAAGAGAGCAATTATGCTTCGAAAATGAACAATCCATAAAGTTGATGACAGACCGATCCTTGTTTGAAGATGAAGAGCATCTGAAGGAGACGAGAGTAATTCTTGTTTGACCATGAAAAGCGACTCTACAAACTCATGAATTTTTGGTCTGCTGATTTTAAAATTGAACAAGATGGTCTAGAGTTTTTTTCTTAAAAATGAGCGCCAAACTTAATCGCTGAAGCAGGTCCGGGCCGGGTCGTCTGGTCAGTAAAAAAAAAACAAATTAAAAATTTGCATGTCTTCATTTAATTGAAATTGGGATTTAGGAACTTTTATTGGGTGCGGAGTGCGGACGTAGCTCTGTGTGTGCAAACGAATTGGTTCGCGCCACGTGGAGCCCACCTTGAGCCCACCGACTTGAAGAGAACGTGTGCTCTGTTTACCCGATAACCTGATAACACGAACCATCCGAACTACTTGAAAAAATGCGCGGTTAAAGCTAGGGTTATATTTGCTGGCGCGGTTTTTTTACCTCAGTTAAAAATTTTTTCTCGTAACACCTGAAACCTCAGAAAGCAGGAGAAGAGCGTAAGGTCTGAGGTTCGAGGCGTAAGGTCTGAAGATGGATACTGTGCCGGAAGAGATGAACGACTGGTCGGAGATGGAAGATTTTACGCAAGAGTCACAGCTTAGAGGTGGAGATGGTTTGCAACAGAATACCCAACCAAATTTTGATATATTATCAGTAAATATGATATGAAAGCCGTGACTTGTTAAGTGTTTTAAAAAATTTGTATTGGTGAGAATATATGTATTGGTGTGCAGGCGGTACCGTTTAGTACCTTTTTTAAATGTTCGATACCGCTCGGTATCAGTAGGTATCGGTCGGTACTTATAGGTACCGATAGGTACAGAAGTTATTTTGAAATTATGTGTGTTTCCAATGTTAAACTCTTTTTGGTTGTTATTCGTAGGTTGTTTGTAATAGTGAGAAAGAGGCATATGATATTTACTGCCGATACGCGCGTAGTGTTGGTTTTAGTGTTCGCAAAGATCATCACTGTTACTGGCCTAATTCGAGGAAGATACATATGAAAGATTTTGTATGTTCGAAAGCTGGTTTTAAAAAGGGCCTTGACCTGAATGCCAAATCGAAATACAGGAAATCCAATACTAGGACTGGGTGTCCCGTGATGATTAGATTTTTAGTTGATCATGATGGGGAATGGAAGGTTAATAAATGTGTTGAGAACCACAACCATGAGTTGGCAAGGCCTGAAGATCAACATTTATTGAGATCATGCAGGAATATTACCAAAGAGAGAGCATTCGTTCTTAAATCTATGACTGATGCTGGGATTAGAACCATTGATGCATTCACATACTTAGCTGATGAAGTTGGTGGGAGGGAGTATGTAGGTTTTTTAAGAAGAGATGCATATAACTTTGTTCAAAGAAACAAAAGATGCAAGATTGAGACTAGGGATACCAATTCCCTAATTGAAATTTTTAAAAATCAAGCAAACAGTGATACCATGTTTGTGTGGGAAGTCCAATATGATGAGGAGGATAGATTGATGAATTTTTTTTGGGCTGATGGTGTGGGAAGAATAGACTACGACTGCTTTGGAGATGTTATAATTTTTTATACCAGATATAGACTGAACAAATACAAGCTAGCTTGTGCACCTTTTGTTGGAGTTAATAACCATTGGCAGAATATTCTTTTGGGGGTAGCATTTCTGTCTGAAGAAACAGAAGAATCATTTACATGGTTGTTTAGAACATTCTTGAGAGTAATGGGTGGTAAACATCCCATTACAATTTTTACTGACCAAGATCAGGCAATGTCTCGGGCAATAGAAATTGCATTTCCTCAAACACGCCATAGGCTTTGCCAATGGCACATCACCAAGAAGCTTCCATCCAAGTTGCATTGTTACAATAGCAACAACAAGGTTAGAGGTTTGATTTATAAATATTTCAGCAAGTGTGATTCAGAGGAAGAGTTTGAAAGTACATGGACTGAAATGCTGAATGAAGGGGACCTTCATAGCCATGAGTGGTTGAAAGAGCTCTACAAAATAAGGCACAAGTGGTCCACAGCATACAACAAGACTTGTTTTAACCTTGGTATTCTTTCAACACAGCGCAGTGAATCCACTAATAATGTGTGTCACGGAATTTCTAAGCCTACTAGCACCATAACTGAGTGTTTTTTGGGACTAGAGAAGGTGATGAAGACATGGCGTCGGAATGAAAAGGATGAAGACTTCAAATGTAGTCAGTCCGATGTTGTACCTTTAGTGAAGAGTAGTCCAATTCTTAGGTAGGCCGCACATTTTTATTCGCGTAAATTATATTCTTTCTTTGAGGAGGAGTTTTTACAAGGTGTGGGTGGAATGTGCATAGCTCATGCCTCAACTGACTTATCCACTTTTTTTGTCAAAACTGTTGAGAACATTGATCAGCCTCGCCACTAGACAGTTAATTTTGATGATGTAGAAGGTAGCATCGAATGCAGCTGTGGAAAATTCGGCATGATGGGGATACTAGAGGGAAACAGCCCAGATCGTACGCTAAGATCATGTTCTCACTGCTTGAGAGTGATAAGGCAGATTGATATAATTAATATACCTCCGAAATATCTACTCAAGAGATGGTCAGGTCGAGCAAGAAAGGACCTTTACTCTGATAGGCCGTTGTCATCTATGGTAGCTACCGGAATCCCCTCGGATGGCATAGGAAGTATGATTTTCAGAAATTATTTTACCAGATTTGCATATCAAATTAGCACTAGAGGGGAAGGGAGTACTGAAGCAGAACAGTACATGATTGATGCTATGTCTGAAATAGCTGAGAATGTGGATCTCATATTAAATGCCAGCAAGGACTCAAACTTAGTTACGAATTCAAGCATGCGAACTAAAATAAAGGACCCCATAAAGCGCAGACCCAAAGGAGTTTCAAATGCAAGGTTGAAGAGTCATTGGGAAAAAAGAAAGCCGAAGAGAAAGAAAGCTGAGGAACAACAGACACCTTCAGCTCATCAGCATACACCAGTGGAACATAGTAGTCAAGTTTCTGTTGCAATTATACCAGATTGCTTCGCTTCAACTCATCAGCCTACACCAGCTTTTTTTATAGTTCTATCATGGTTTATAAACTTCGGTGGCCGAATGCCAAACTTCATCTCGGCATGCCGATCACGGAATTTGTCGAGCTTGGCATAATTAGAATGCATTACTGCGTGGATGTTGTTGCAGAATATGAACTTGAACAGCAAGCTAGACGGAATGAAATATATAGATGCTGTGTTCATACATGGCATGATCGTTGTGATCGTTTGCTTCAAGTGGCATGGAGGGAGGAGATTGCTATCGAGGAAAACAGATCAGGTCGGTTCTTAAATTCTACAGTGTTCATTTCCTGCAGCAGCGCTATCATGAGCTGACTTGTAAAGGAAAATTAACAAGCTCTGATTATGTGGTCAGACGAGCTTCTGATGTTGATAATGTAATTCTTTATCACCCGTGGGATCCAGCTGAAGATAGGTTTTTAATTGATTTGTACAAGCAATTATTAAATGAACGTGTTTATGGTCGCAAAAGGAAGATGTTTTTGGATATCAAAGATTGGCAAGACTTACCAGTACCGATCGGTACCAACATGTACCTACCGGTACCTAGCATTATTTACAACTAATTGTCAATGTTACATACTTACATATTACTATATTTCTCAAGGCAAGCGTCGATAAACATCCTCATATCGTCACTTATCATTGGTCGCCCAGGATAATCTATTTTGGTAGGAGCTGGCCTTAGTCCGGGTGATTTTTGATTTTCAACTTCAATCAGAGCATTTGTAAGATCAATCTTAGCTGGGAAGGGCCTAGCAGCAGCTTTTTTTAACACCTTCCTCTTATATTGACCCTTGGTGTATGGTGTCTTAACCTTTTTAGCTTTACGGTCAGCCCGACGTCTCACACGTATGGCTATGCCTGAGCTGCTTGGTTCAGGTTTGGCAACATCATCCATAATTGGCTGGGTGTCTTCAAACAGACATTCGGCAATAACCTCTGCACACTCTGCTTTCTTCATTTCATCAGTCATAGTCCTGGAGGAAGATTGAACATGCACAGCTGCAGTCGAGGAGTTGAATGAAGGGAAGTTCTCAGATAAGAACTGCTCCATTGCTTCCAATCTCTTATTCATCTCCCTCTGATCAAAAATATGATGTTTAAGAGCCTCCATTCTACGTTCATTCAGAGGCATTGTTGTTTCAAAGGTAATTAACCTACTTCTCAGAAATCTATTTTGATCTAAAACCTTATGTATATATTCAACTCTATAATCATGCTGTCCTTCAGGTGGGGAAGTAGGTTGCTGCTGCTGCTAGCCATGTGACATGGGTGGTGTTTGAGTGGTTGGTCCACCAGGGCTGATTGGGCTTGGGGGCGGCTGAACAGGGCTTGGGGGCGGGGTGTTTTGTCTTAGAGGACTATAGGGTGTAGGTGATGTTGGAGGTGTAGAAAGATGTTCAGGAGGTTTGTGCAAGATGATCTCTTTGTTAGGAACTTTGTCAGGTGATGTCTGTGGGGTCTGTGGGGGAGGATTTGCTAATAAAGCCCTCTCATCAGTTGTAATAGCATCAAAAGAAGTTAATAAATGACCAGCTTCAAGACCATCGAATAAACTAGATGCATCTGCGTCGTTATAAACTACATCGGATCCCCAGCGGAGAAACCTTGGTCTTGACTTCGAATTCAATGGTTCGTGGACTGTATACTGTTCTAGAAACCATATCTGAACTCATACATAAGAATATCAACTTAAAATATATCTAACAAAAATCAACATCATCAATTAATACAAAACAATTTAAATTCACTGCACTCACAATTAGAATATGAACAAATCCATTCAAGTAACCGAGTGGCTGTGCTTTCTTCATCTTTTTTGCAATGGCGTTAAAGTCAGCAACAAGGAATTCTCTGATTGAATCCGGCCCATTGTAAGATAAAAATTTGTCAACATTTCGAGCCACACTGATGATAGAGGCTGGTGTTCGATAGTTGTGCAGAGGAAAAAATAGGTTTGACAACAAAAATATGATGAATTTCTTCAAAACATCAGGCATTGGCGTAGATTCATCTAAACTAATCACCACTTTCCTAATATCATTGGCTGATTTTCCCGTTATTCTAGCACTACCAATTTCAAAATTGTTGCCTCTATTTGGTAATCCTAAAATCATAACTACTTCATCGGCAGTGAATAGTAACTTCTGATTCTTAATGAGAAAGCATTGTTTCTTACTGTCCCAGCAGGACAACAACTTGTAAACCAACGGAACATTCTGTACTAAACGTGGCATAAAAAGAAAATGATGCAGATTATATTGCTTCAAACTCTCGACCAGGTTCTCTCCAAATATTTCCACTAAATGATCACATACTTCTCTGAAGGTTGACGTTCTGCAACGGAAGCTAATCTTCGGCACATATCCCTGCTTTATTGATTAGGATAAATTTAATTCCATTTCGATACATCTATGAACCGATCAGTACCTATCGGTACCGAGTGGTACCTAGAGGTACCAAGTGGTACCGAGCGAGTTCAGGAAAAATAATACAAAACAACTCGGTACCGCCGAGAGTCTATGGAATGCGGTAAAATAAAGAATAAACTCTAACAACAAAACCTGGATCTACAATAACTTATGGAACTTAGAATGCTTACAGAAATATCCCAGCTTAACTTGGTAGAAACCGCTGGGTACACATTCGGATAACGCAGCGGTACCCACCGGTACCCAACGGTACCGAGCGGTACATTTTGTCACACAACTTAACGGGCAAATGACATTCTCAACATCATTCAAACCAAACCCTAAAAGCTCAAAATTATCGAAAAATACATATAACTCAAGAAAAACAAACCTTGCCCATTGCCACTATGAAGCTCAGGAGGCTTAGCGTAGAAGATGAAGTTGCTTCGTTCGTGTGGAAGATGAATAATGGCCTGCAACTTCTCCTTGTGGAAGATGGACTGTAGTCTAGCAAATCGCCCGAAAAAGAAAGCTGGAAGCGTCGTTTCGGATGTTCTTGAAGATATGGATACCGCGCATTATTTCAAGTAGTTCGGATGGTTCGTGTTATCAGGTTATCGGGTAAACAGAGCAGACGTTCTCTTCAAGTCGGTGGGGTCAAGGTGAGCTCCACGTGGCGCGAAACAATTTATTTGCACACACAGAGCTACGTCCGCACTCCGCACCCAATAACACCTCGGGATTTAGAGCTTAGGTGATTCCACCCTTCATAATTTCCCGTGTTACACGGACAAGAAAGTAGGAGAACCCAATCAGGCCACGTGCGACATGCACCCGCTGCCATGTCAAGTGCGGCTGGCTCCGGACTCCGGAGAGGCGCAAGCATGAGAAAGAAAACGACTCCATCGCGAACGAGAAGGCACAGGAATCCTAGTCTTCGGCGATACCAGTCGATCCGCTTCACCGTCTTGCCCCTCGCTAGAGAACTTCTCTGCACGTTCATCGCCACCGCTTCCGCCATCGCCACCACGACCACCACCACCAACGCGTTCGTCATACATATCGCCGTCTTGATCGCTCTACGTCGCCATCCGGGTATATCTCGCAAATCGGAGGGGAGGAGATGCCGAGGTCCAGTCCACCAAAGCACCGCCATGACGGTACCTCACCGCTCCCCCTCGGTATGGACTGGAGCCCGCCCCCTAGGAAATGGGTATATTCTGCTCCCTAACCCTTTTCTGTAGTAAGTTCTAGATTTGCGATCTTCTAGAAATCCGGTCTTTAGCTTGTTTTTATTGTGGACAATTTAATCCGAATTGATATACTGTTACTATTTGTTCCTTGTGACTTTAGTTATTGGATTTTGGGTGCCTAGATGAAAGTAGACAGACTTGATGGTTATGGTTTAGGATTGTCTGTTATTGCTTGATTTTGCCATCGCAGGCATCCTTCTTTGATGGAATAGGGATATTGAATTTGTTGCATCGATGGGTTGTAGCTACCCAGATCTGAAGATTACTGGCTTAGGCGTGCTGGTTGCTGCAATGTTTCTAATTGTTTTTGCAGCAGCCCATGCATTCTTTAGTTTTGCTGTGAGTTTTGATTGTGCTATTATGCTGCTTCTGCGGTAAAAATCGCCCTCGGATGAAGTCACTATCAACTGAATTCTCTCTGTTCAACTCCAAGATCTCAATGTTTCAAGCAGTTCAATTAAAAAATATTCTTTTCCTTGCTGATATAGCTTTGATCATATATCTAAATATCTAATAGCGAGTGCCAGAGAATAAATGATTGAATTGAAGCCAAAAGAAAGTTACCATAGTTTCCATAAGCAAATACTTTATAATGTATGCTGACTCAGAAGATAATTTCCTTAAATAGATCCTCATTTGTTTTTCGGTATTATCACAACTAGTTCACCAGGCTTTGAAGATTTCAATAGTAAGTTGACATGAGGGGTGAGTTCATAAACTTTTAAGTTAATTCAATTAACGGAAGATCATCAAAATAATAATTTTCCACCTAAAACATGACCGGACATCTAAACCCAATGACATTCAAATAATTTATCCATCAAAAGTTAATTGAAACCTAACTAATACTATATTTTTTATAAGAATAAATATAAAGTGCTAATAAATCAATTAACTAACAGTACACTCTTCTTCATCTTCCCATGATGCCTAGAGCATGAATCTGGAAACTCTTATCTCCATGATGCACAACTGATAACCTTAAAATCATAACATTAGCTAATATGAATTTGTAAGAAATAAACTCATCGGTAAAGCAACTGTCTATAGAACAAATATCTAAGTATAAGGCATACAATATACTCGATAATATACCATGATTAACAGGTGTTATTCCCATGATAGTTGCAATCATTGCATCAAATTAAATCAATCTTCTATGATAAGAGCTATTATAAATGACAGTTAGTGTAATGGAGTTTACAATCAATCATGTGAAAAAGATGGTCAATGCACCATCACAAACATCCATACATGCATGTTTATAGGCCAAAAAAAATGTCTCATCAATTTCATTGATTATAATTTATAGTATTATAGTCAACCACTAATTTCCTAAAACTAAAGGATGATTTTCACCAACTTGATGAATTCTGTTGGCCCTAGAAGAGTTATCACTTAACCTTTTTTGATTAGGGAGAATTTTGATAGGAGGAGTTTGTTTTCTAATTTGGAATATAATTTTACTCAACATCTTATGTTCATTTTTCTTTTTAAAGATTCACTCTAAACTTATTTCTTTCCAATATGGTGAACTAGATTCAAATACCCAAGCATAAACACTAAATATATAATTTATGAACACCCTTATTTTTGAAATAAATCATAGATGGGTAAGAATAATGACCTCTATAATGGCTATAAATCACATATCTTTTTATTAAGTATGGCTATGATATTTGGGGACTGAATAGGTTGATAATATTGTTGCCAAAGCGTATGAAGGACTTTGTAGTGTGCACTAATTAGGACCCCAAAATGGTGGTAAGAAAAAAAGATTATTACCGGCCTTCGATGGTGAGAGATTGTATCGATATTGCTAAGAAGTTCTACGAGTGTCAAGTCATGGTAACATTATATGTCAACCGCCAACTCCATTGCATCGTGCAGTAGCATCTAACGATTTAAATGTTGTGGTGCTGATGTAATTGAACTGATCGACCCACCATCATTAGCTGGACACCTTCATGTACTTATTTTTAATGGTGGTGGGAGGCCTTTTGGTGGGATTGGTAGCTAGAAAAGGTAATTGATATTTAGTTTAATGTGTGCAGATTTGAAGTTTTGCTTTGAAGGTGAGATCTTTAGAGGAGTATGATAGAGTGAAAGCTGCGAATAGCTCAAATTGAGTTAATTTGGGTTGATTTGAATTATCTCATTTGGGAATGTGTTTAAAGTCATTTACATGGAGGGAAATGATGATGGAAGATAAGGTTAGAATGTGAGCTAATGATTTAGTGTAGTGATTGAATTTTGTGAGGTTTAAGAGTTTGAGGTTGTGGAGACGAAGGCTAAATAGATTATTACTAAGACTTGGCCTTGACAACAAGTGGTTTTGAAGGCTTGAATGGTGAAAACTAGTCTTAGGAAGTTATTAGGATGTTGAGGAAGATGTGAGGATGATTTGGTGGAGTTGCATGTAATAACAAAAGCTAAAAAGAGATACAAACCAATTTCAACAACAATGGGCCAAGTTAGGTCGCCAAGCACTAAGCAAATAGAATGAACTTCTCTAATCATTTTCTAATGAGAAAAAGCCTAAAATAGTATCTCGGCTATCAATCTATGCCAAATTTAATCCCAAAGTTTTGTATTGTCCCACTTTAGTTCTTCGACTATTGAATATTAATCCAATTTTGTCCCTCTACTATAAAATATTCAAATTTAGTAGAATATTTTGCATTTCTCCCACTTTGCATAATGTGAGAAGTGACATTTTAGTACAAACATTTAAATTACATTATTTTAATAATGTTGTATCTCATCTTATTCCGTAACCATCCTGTGCGAGTGTGAGATCAATCAACAAAGGATTACGGAGTTCCTACAAAGGTCGATGAATCATTGAAGTGTGTAGTGAAAATCGACAAGTAGCTTGTGACGATCTCGGATCAACAGTGTGAGACTGCAAATTCTGAGCAGTGAATCAACATCTCGAAGGGCAACACATGGGATTTTGGGCGTATGAGAGACAAAACATTGTCTCTAACGATGATGAAGTAAGTGGTGTGAGAGGAATTTGGAGTTGTATAGCCAATGAAACTATTTTTTAAATAAGGATTTTATAGTTTTTTTAATCAATGAGAATATTTTTTATAACAATGGTTTTGGAGCTTATATGATTTTCCTTTTAGGTTTTACTTACCAAAAAATATTCTTTTACTAATTTTCACCCTTATTATTTTGTAGGTTAATTTTTTTTTTAATATTTATGATAATTTATGAAATGAGAAAATAGAGCACCGTAAGTAATATAACACACATATGCTTGAATTATCTAAAATACCATCACATTTAACTTTGGTGCTAACTTTAATTGTTATTTTCATCCTTGGGATAAATTTAGATCAATTTTGAATAGTCGAGGGATTAAATTAAGACAACGTGAAGTTTTGGAACTAAATTAGGCTCTTGGTAATAGTAAGACGATTATTTTGAACTTTTTCTCCTTTTCTAACATTCAAAGGGTCAAAATTTTAATTACATGCCAGCCTTTTATATAGGCATTATATAGACTCTTGTACTACTCTCATTTCAAAGAAGATGAAGGGAAAGAGGGAGGTGGAAGGCCACATTGGAAAAATGGAGCCAACTACATGAAGTTACTCAATTTCCATTCCAAGGCTTATTAAAGGGCTGGCCACAACATGTTCCAAAGTGAAAATAGAAAAAAATTGTATTTAAATATTTTATAAATGAGCTTTTCTTTGGGTTCTTGTTATTAGGGCTCTTGTTTGGTTTCTAGTTGGGCTTTGTCTCTTGTAATTCTTTTAGCTTGATTTTTTTTTGATAATCCACTTGATGCTCTACATTAGTTTCTGTTCTTACCCTGGCACTAAACTGGTGTATCTTATCTCGGTCACTGTACTGCAGTAAAATAAGTCTATTTAACTTCCAAATATTTTCTATTCTTATATGAATGGCTGTTTAGATTCTATTGTAAAACTTGTCCCAGTCATTTTTATGTTTTCTAATATCAATGTATAACTTTTCCTGCTTTGTCTCAAATGTCTCATTTATTTGTGCAGGAGGGAAGAAACACTATTTGGCCGCATGATTCCAGAACAGGTTGGAGTTACTGCGTCATGATTCCCTCATGGATGGTTGAAACTGCATATGGAGCATCAAGTGATACCTTATTGAATCCTATAATTGTAAGATTTCACTTTGTTTTCATGATACAGATAATACTTTAATTTGAAAGGGGTTGCTGCATACTCTTTTGAAGCCTATTAAAGAAAATTATTTTTTATCTAGCAATATTTTGTTGAACGTCAATGCTTAGAACTCATAAAAGTAGAGTTGAAATAGAAATGAGATGAAAACTCATACGTCATGGGCTTCACATTCTTTATTCTGTTATATGGATACTTAGATATGATTTTTTTATTAGGCGTACTTGTGATAAGCATGCCATTTTTTCCATGCATGCCATATTAATATTGAGTTTCTTTATGCGTGGCCTAATTTTAACTGACTTTGGCGGCAGAAGAGAATTTCAGAAGGACATAATTTTTGAGTGTGTTATGAAAAGAATCTACTTTTTGCTTGACTGTTTTCTTGCTTTTCAATGATTTGTTTAGTATGATCAACCTGCTGTACTAGTTAATTTGTGGTATCCAGCAGATAGCATTGCTCAAACCACGCTTGTATTCTATAGTTCTGCATTATCTTTATTATTCTGACTAAAGCTACGTAGTACTTGAATATGAATATGAATATGAATATGAATTGGAGGCACATTAGCAGTTACATTAAATCTAGTTGAGCATCAGAAAATCAAATTCCTTTGGGACAACCTCCTTTTTCTGCTCTCTTACCATTTCTTCTCTGAAACCTGAATTTATTGATTTTGAAATCCTTGGACACAAGTTTTACCGGAAAAATATGAGTGGAATATCATCAAAGTAATGCGGCTTGAATTTACTTCTCTTGTCAAAGTTTCTTATCCCTCTTCTAAGATTAATTCATGTAATTCCTACCATAAAACTGCGACGAATTATGTTGTAAATCTGGACCCAAATATTGTGATTTTGATAATAATAAACATTATTGAATTTTTCACTATGCTATTTGAATCTATTGCATATCATGCTCATTAATATTTAGGATCACAACTCACATGCAACCTCGACTAGCTCAAGAATGGATAGACTAGGAATAAAGTCTGTATTTTTAAGTTTTTATACTTTTTATCTTTCTTGAGTCAAATATGTATTATGGTAGATTTTAAAGCTAAGCAACCTTGCACACACGCTCAAGGGAGTGAGTTGATGAGTTGAAAAAATTTTCAATTTTTTGAACTAATCGTATAGTATGATTAATATCGTACTAAACGATCAATTAACCAGTAAATCCTAATTAGAGTACCTATGCTAAGTAAGATTGATTAACTCATCGTATTGTATAATTATGATTAATTTATTCAATCAAATTGTACATGATGATTGGTAACGATCGTATTGTACCACCCGAGCGATGCATGGGACGATAATTACATTGTCGACTATCATCCAAGACGAAATGCCATAGTTTTCTAATCGTACAGGACAAACCCCCAATCTCATACTGTACGAACCGAGCTTTGCATGGGATGATAATTACATCATCATTTATCATACTAGACGATCAGTACATCTCTTCAACTGATCATACAGGGAAATACATTTCGTACTGTCTAAAAAGGTTGTTTTGTTCTAATTGTACTGAACGATATTCTTAATCGTCCTGTACAATCCATTCATCCCTTTGAACTAATCGTACAGGGTTTGTCTCCTCGTACAGTACCAATAGGAGTATTTTGTACCAATCGTACTATACGATATTGGATCGTACTGGATGATCAGAGTCGGCAGATTGAAATTTAGGGTTTTTTGAGAGGCTCTCTATTTAAGTTTTCACATAGTCTTGTTTCAAAATACTTTTTCTGCTACGTGTCTTGAGAGGGAGCATAGAGAGGGAGTTAAGGAGTGCTTTGGGAGAGAAGAGAGAGAGCTATGAGGGATTCACAAAGTTACTCAAAGCAAGGTTCTTCCCTTTCTTCTTCAAGCTTTGCCTTGATCCTTTGGTGGCTCCGGAAAGACTTTCCACAGCACTAGTTCCAGGTTTTCTATCTTCTCCATGAGGGAGAAAAAAAATTCTTGGTTCTCTGCCATCTCTAGGAGGGAGAAAAAAAGATTCCAGGTTCTCTGCCTTCACAAGGAGGGTGAAAAAGAGTAAGGTCCTCTGGCGCACCGGGTTGGTGGAAGAGATATTTTAAGTGTTTCTCTGCCTTGCTGTGGGGGCAAAAGGAGAGACCCTACTTTTAGTGCAATGCCCGAAAAGGAGGTTTCTTGGGAGTGGATGTAGGTCAGGTTGGACTGAACCACTATAAATTTTTGTGTATTTTGTTCTTATTATTCTGCACTTTTATTTTTCCATGATTTACTATGTGGTTGACAAACTTTGATTTTTTTGTTATTGTGAAATTAATTTGCTTATGCATTAGGAGATTAAATTGTCTGTTTTCAAATATTAAAAAAGTTTTAAGAATATTTTTTTATTAAATTTTTTTTTAAATTACCAATTCACCCTCTCTTGGTTAGCCTCGTGCTTATTCTTTGAGGTCTCACAACCTCCTTAAACTTTCGAATTATGCTAGAAATACAATTATCATCCTTTCTATGCACAATAATCTTAGAAAAAAAGTTTATTGTGTCTACATATATTGATTCACCTTTAGATTTTGGATATGAACTTCACCCTCTCTTTTTTGGATGATTCTTTTCATTATTCATCTTGTTCTTGTGGTGTTTATAAATTGGATAGCATAATTGCATGCTTTGAAGCTTTAATTTGGCTCCCTCTGTTATTTTTTAGTCAAGTTTTGATTCTTTTTTATGAACGCTATAACTTAAAATATTCGTGAATCCTGATATGATATCTATGGAATATCTTGATACTATGTGTATATTGGAATCAAAACACAATCAATTTTATCCCAACATCCTTAATGCTATTGGTTGTAACTATATTAATAATTGGTTTTCTCTTAAAGCTCGTGACAACTCTGGTCGCATTATCTATGGAAGGAATGTTTTCTTGTTGGCTATTCTTCACTCCATTATCAATACATTTTGTATTACTATTCACCTTAAGATACCTGAAAATCTTGATTTTTTCTCACTTCTATGTATGATTTGTTTAAAGAGAATGATAAAACTCACTTTTGGGATGAACTTTGGAACATTGGGTCCAAATGGTCTTCTAAATGGAAGTTTATGTTGACCTCAATAATATTCTGGCTTTGAATGAAAAATTCTCTAATACCCCTAAATAAAAATCAGATTTAGTGTCAATATCTCCAATCTCATTGATTCACTCTTGATGGATCGCCCAGCTTTTTTAAAATGCAGAAATAAAACAGGAGGTGATAAATGAGCAAGCTTTGTATAATGATTATAACAATCTAGACTCATACTAAAATAATATTTAAAGCTTGTAAGGAATTTGATTATGGGGTTTCTCGTTAAGAAAAGAGATTCAAAAGTTTTAAGTTAAAAGCAAGAAAGAATTTTGACTTCTCATTTTTAATTTTAGCTATTACCATAAATGGAATGTTAAAATTTAGAACCTATGCAACTACCTTAAGGTGGAATGAGAAATCTTTTCTAGTGGAGTCGTTAGAAATTTGTAAGCTCAGAAGATTTCTATTGACTCTTTTATAAAAGTGGTCATGGTTTAAATTTTCAGAAGGCATATTTTACATATGCTAAGACACTATCTAGAAAATTGGCCTCACGTTTAATGGACTTTATGATATGATTCAAGGTTTCTTTTAGGCACAAGATCTTATATTCATTACTCATCCCGGCTATGAGAGATAATTTTTGATCAAGCCTAGTTGTTAGGCTTTAAATATTTAGCTTATAATTTTAGCATTATGGTTAAGGAAAAAAATATGAAGTCATTATCTTTAGAGTTAATGGTAGAGGGGATGATGATGAACTTGATCAAGATCTTATAGTTTCGTCATCCTAGGTTGTCATGAACCATAGTATACGTAGTAAAGGTAGTTAACCCACTCAAACTAAATAATCTTTATTAAAAATCATAAGTTGCATTGTCCAAGGAAGACCTCGTGGATCTAGGATAGATGTTTGTTGAAGGGACTATTTTAAAGATGACTTAAGCTAATATATAGGGTTTTAACCTTGTCAAGCACACCTTATGGTTTTCAACTCATAAGCTAAGAATTACGAAACATTTGGACTTTTGTCGTAATCGTTGTATGATGATGCCATTTGGAAATAAATCATTTGATCATAGAGCATGTGCGATGACTTCACTGGTGTGAATTTTTGATAGTGACCATATAAGTACACGTACTATGACCATGGCTCTTTTTGAGCTTTGGTCAAACTTAGATTTGTTATCATCGACAAATTGGTATGGAGGATAGATGGGTACTTGCTTTAAGCTTTAAAATGTTAGTCATTTCTTGAACATTCTGGGATTTTAATATTTTTTCTTGGATATGACCTTAAAATGATTACTTTGGAATCTGAGAGCATTTTGATGGTAGTTTTTCATTCGGTTGAGAATTTCTAGCAACATGGCTATCATCAAGGAATGATATTTGAAGCATTTATTTTTTAATTTGAAAGCTTGATTTTGGAATAGACACCTGTAGTTGTAATGCACAATAACTCTGCTCATGTTTGGGCTATTTGGATGCTTGAACTTGATTTCCTGAAACCTTATCAAGTTTGGTTGGTTGCTTCTAAAGAATCATGTGCATGATTTTACATATAGTTTAAAATCATTTGGATATTCTTTGTATTGGAAACCTTGTCGACCCTCAAATTGCAACGGATCAAGTCAAGTAAGTTGATAATAACAACTTTGTCCTTGTAGGTTAATTGACCTCAAGAGTTTATATTTTAAAATAATTTTTCTTTATGAAAGGCCTTGAAGGCATAATGGCGGCTTTTGTTTGGGTTAGGTGAGTCAGGCTATATTTAGTGAAGTTTAATTTTAAGTGGAATCATGGTTGGAAATGTGTTTGTGGTCGACCAATCCAATTTTAGCGACCAATCCAATTCAAACAACTAGCCAGGATCTTGAGCCCTAGGTTCTACCCATCATAATTTTCTCTCTAGAAGTCCAATTGACATGGAATAAAAATAAAATTGAAGGGAAAGATGTCTAGTTAGGATTTGGTGAATTTTGGTTGAGTTTTGATATTTTTTCCCTGAATTTTTTCCAAGGCTGGTCTGAGAATTTTCCTCTCTGGTTGCAGGCTAAATTCAATTTAGGGCTTCTAGGACTTTGGATTTTTGTGAATAAGAGAAATAATAATTGTATGAAAATCAAAGTCGGGGTGTCTGCTATGGATTTAGAGTTTTTGATGATTTTTGGAGGACTTTAGGTCATCCAAGTGAATGCAAATTTCAACTAGGTTTGTTCTATCCTAGTTTGGTTGATTTTCATAAAAGCCATAAATGGATGGGTTACATTGTTATGAAAATTACGATTTGAATTTTTTTGGGTGGTGGATGATGGATAGAACACAATAAAATTGAAAAATGCTGAAATTAAAATATAAATAAAACTCTATTAATCGCCAAAATAGTAGTCCTAGAGAGGATCACAAAACCTTTTATAGTTTGGCCAGTCATGAAGCTGTTACCAAGGGGTTTTTTTTTTCAATTTTAATCACAAAATATGAATGACTTTTTCTTTCCACCGATTAGAAGTATTTAGTATAACATAACATAAGAGAAAAAATTTGAAGTTAAAAAAAGAGGGAATGGAGGGCCGACCACTAAGTGTAACCTTCATGTAACCACCACCACTTTTCCCACCAATGCATTACTTTCCCGGCCATTACTCTCATGCATAGGCCGGCTGCTCCACTCCAATTTAGCCAGTTAATAATGTTAATTAAAATGGATAACACAATACATAAACACAATAATATTTTACAAATATACTTCCACATATGAAACAATATATTCACTTAAAAGAAAATAATAAAATTCTAATCTTTGAGCCCTTACCCTTGTGGAAGCCCTCCTAGCCTAGATATTATAATTGGACCCCATTCTCTTGATCTGTTTCATGTTCTACATCACCTTATGCTAACTTTAACAAAAAATTTAAGCAAGTTTGCAATGAATGTTTGATTTCACTTTCGTGATGATGCAAGTATGCTGGATAGGAACATGAAAGAAGAATTTAAAGTCATTCTTTGAAACAAGTTTTGCCAACTTCAGTATTAATAAAGTGGAGGATCAAACGTGAAAAATAGGTATTACGACCATACTATATAAGGTAGGGTGCTTCATTGAAAAATCTGAGTACTACATGTCAATCAATTTAAATTTTAAAAGAGAATTAGCAAAGTTTCCAAAGTAATTGAATACTTCTTAGACTAGGGTATCTTGAGTTTAGCTTATTTTAAATACACAGCACTTTGAAATTTGTCTTGATTTTGGACGTTGGCTTGCTTATATATGCACAAGAGTTTGCTTTTAATAGTTTACATGTTTTTAGAAGACATTTCTTTGGATGTGCTTGCACAATTTGTAAAACACTATAACTTAATTGATTTTTATCCTAGGATGCATGTGCATGATTGAAAATAATTGAGATTCAATTGTTTGCCGGAATACATTGTCATTAAAGTGCATTTGCAATTTTTATTTTGATATTATTACTGGTATTTGTTTGCATACATATCTTTTAAGAGCATATTAATTAGTCAAACTTATTGTTGATTTCTCATGTTATATCTCTTTATGCCCCCTTGTGAATTTGCATCCAATCCTCTATTAGATTATTTTATTCAACTTATTTCTAAGGCTATTTGGAAAATGAGATTATATCTACTGCTGATGAATTCTAGAGATATCTTGTTCATTGGAGAGACTAATGTTTCTCTGATGAGTCATAAATTACTATACATGAGGCATAAAATTTATGTCATGAATTGCTTGATGAGTATCAAAGTTTGTTGGAGCTAGATTTATTGAAGACTGTATAGTTGATGGAAATTTGTGTTTATTCTCTTTAGAAACATCATATCAAGCAATGAGATGAGTAATTGTTTCCTAGCTTTTGAGGTATTTTGAAAATCAAGGGTTTTTGGTTTCAGCAGTTTTCTACCGTTCCTGATTCAGAGGTTGATATGCTAGCACTGGAGTTTGTAGTTAGCGGCTGATAGCTGGAGGTGGAATTTGGAGTTATTTATTTGGTAATAGTCTTGCTGGTTATGCGTTTGTCTTGCTATAGTGGCGCTGCACATGTATGAGATTGTTGTTAGCAGACCTTAAAAGTGTTTTTGACCTGCGGGTCTTGTGAGAATTCGTGTAATGCGCCTTTTTACCGAAGGAAATGCTAATTTTAAAGGCACAACAAACTTATGAAACTTTGGATAGTCTGTTTTCAAAGAATTTTAAAGCTTAGATGATTTGAATGCTTTGGGCTAAGATCAGGATTTGAATTTTTGAATTTTTGTAACTAAACTGAGCTATTATTGTGCAACCCATATCTAGTATGGCTGAAAATTCTATACATAAATAGTCTAAGACATGTAATTGGTTAACCTTGATTAAATAAATTTATTTCTTCTAATTTTCAATCTCATGTGTGCAAGTTTATTGTAATTCATCAAGTGCGTTAAAAGTGTGACTATCTAATTCTGGGGGTAGTCATCTCCTTGTTCTTACGTGAGGCTTGAATTTTCTTACTTTGGTAATTTATTTCCTTGACCTAATTTCTTCTACGTACTTTGTTATTGGCTTGCTAGTGTTCTTGATTTTTTTTTTTTAAAATTTAGCTCGACTAAGCTTCTAATTATAGAGAATAAATTTTAACCGTTCATTTATCTTTTGTGGTTAATTTTTTTTTTTTTTTGTAAATTTATTGGATTTATTTGATCGTTGAAATGTTTTTTGTGTTTCATTTCTCATATTATTTATTTACTCACATGAAAAGCAAGTTCTTATATACTTAATGGTCTTTGGTATTCAAATCTTAGGTTACCTTTTGTGATCTATATTCATTGTATCATTTTATTGACATTAGAAAACCCAAATACTAATTCATCCTGAATCACAGTCTACACCAAATAGTTGCGATAAGGTTAATATTGAGGGTGGGAATGATGATGATGAGTTGTTTTTTTTATCCCGTAGGGATTTCCTCATCTAAATGTGCTTCCAGAATTTGTGCCTTTTATGTGTCATATATTAATCAGTTCCAGTCATAATGAAGGTTGGCACCTTTTTATGATTAGTTTGAATTGCCGAGAGTAATCTTTTTAATCAAGAACCATGTCTTATTGGAAAAAAAATTTCAACATTTTTTTAAATGAATTAATAAGCCCACTAAGGTATTTGTTTTTTTTTTTTGTAATATTCTTAAGAGGAAAATTTCTTTCCTTGATATGATTTCTTATATGCTTTTCTTTTTTAACTTGAATTTCAGTAAGGTAATAAAAAAGTTTCATCTTGATGACTGTTTTAACAAAAATATTGTTTTTGCTTTTTCTCATTTTTTTTATTTAACATCCTTAAAGGACAGTTTTACAGGATTCTAGTTGGTATACAATCTCCAGAAGGGGCTAGCAGCAGCTATGACATCCTTCATAGGTTCAGTGACTTCTTGAAGTTGTTTTCGGCTGTAAGTGCAACTTTCATGGAGATGGAACTTGCATTCATTGGCGTTTCATTCTATTAGAATTTTTTTTGTTAAGCATACTTTAGTTTTCTTTTTAATGATCTGATAATTTCTTACTTCAGAATAAGTATGGTGAATGTGAACGGAAAATAGGTTTCATGTTAAGGCGACTTCGTAGTGACAAGCATGAGCTTTTCTTTTGCAAAATCACATTATATGTGATCTTTCAAGCCAATCCAAAATAAATGATAAAACATAAGAGGGATTGTTCCATGTGAAATGAAACATGCATGCAGTTGTTGCGGAATAGGGCTCTCTTATTCTATTTTCCTTCTAATTGATACCATGACAGTCTTCAATATTTTCAATTTTATTGAACCCCTATATGTGCTGAAATATTGAGGGAAAATCATTTCAGCTGAAATCCCATTTGTTTCCTTTAAAAACTTTCTTATGCTTGTTATTCCTAGTTCATGGTTTTATTCTATATTGCTAGCAAAGCCCTTCATGTGTTTGAATCAAATTATTGGAGAAATGTGTATCATTCCTTAGTTTTCAATCTATGATTCTTGAAGTTTTTTCTTTTGCACTTTAGTTTGGGCATGTTATCGAAATTAGATGCAATTTACTCATTTTCTTACAGAAATTTTGGTTTTTTATTCAACAATCGAAATCCTTTGTTCATACTTTCAGCAATTGAAACACATGGTATAGCGGGATGCTACCAAAAGGATTTTTTGCTTTATGCATTATCTACATAACTCAAAATGAAATAAGAAATAAAATAGAGGATTCTTTTTTTTTTTAATTCTCTGACATCGAAATAAACATTTCTTGTATAATTAAATAAAAAGCAACATTGAGTGACTTGAAACTGAATGTTTTAAGTGTTGAATTGTTGACTAGGACCAATTTTGATTTTGAGTCTAATTTGTGCCAAGTAATAACTAAACTTTGATTTCGAGTCAAACCAAATTTATTTGATCTCAACTTCATTCCATTCTAATGATGATGATGATAGCAATAGAGAATGATAGATTCTTTGACAGTCCCAAAATAGGAAGAAATTGTATATAATAGTTTGAAGTTGGTTTTACTTCTTTTGAGAAGATCTGAAATCACTATGCCATGACAAGCATCATTCACACAAAAACATTTTGTTGCGTTGTACGAACAAAATTAAGGATAAGTTGTTTTGTAAGCACATCATCCATAGTTGTGAATGCTCCTGGGGAACTTGTGTGTTCCAGAGTGTGAGAATTCCTATGTAAGTTCTTCATAATAATTAAAAACTATTATTCAAAAAGTAAGGTATTACAAAATGAAACCTTAATTTATTTATGCAATTAGTGTTAGCCGAACACATATATAAGTTATAAACCTATAAGAAAGGAAAATTTTTTCTTTTAATTTTTTTTTCTCTGATCAGCCTCGCATGTTGGCTAAAAACATGCATGAATCCATAAAAAATCGATGTTGTATGATATGTGGTTAAGGATGAGAAACTCATATATGCTTTGAAATTCTTATTGTAGCTCAAAAGGGCGTTTCCCAAAAAGGACATACCCCAAGCTCCACCAAAGCATGCTTTGCTGCGAATTAATTCGAGTCGGCTGCTCTTAGAAGAGGTTGGTATGCAAGTTGAACTATTCTACTTTCTAGAAGGCAACGATTAAATTGATTTATATACTGATTTTTAATCTATTTTTTTAAGTTGAAATCCATAAGTTCTATGAGTTTCTTTGTAATTGTTTACCAGTTTTTCAGTGGCATGTGTTGGAGTGCTATGTATATGCTTCAATTTTACTCTTTGATATTGTTTACATTTCTAGACATCTACCTCCACAACAAACAAATCTTACCTAAGCTTCTTTGACTGGATCGGCCGGTCTTTCTTTGCCAATGCCATATGCTTCGCTATCAAATAAGGCTTTGCTCTTGCATGCATTATTTGCAACAAAACTATTCAGAGAAACAAGTGAAATGGGTCTTAATATTTTTGCTTGCACTTGCACTTGAATTTTGGACTTTTGGTTCTCTGTAGCTTTCTATTTTTTCAAATTGTCACCAGGTCACATTACTGTTTATTTTCATCATCTATGGATGTTAGCATCCTTAGGTTGAGCTTTGAAGTCTTGATGTTAACTGTTGTTTTCATTCAATAATTTTGGCATAAATTGTTCAAAATGGGAAGGAATGCGTTTAAGATCTAAGGCAAAACTTGGCCAAAATGAATGGAGTCATAAACTTGATTGAAGCTAACGATGATGATGATGTTGTTCTTAACTCTTGTGTAGCAAGCCATTTTGGGTATTTTTGGCAATATGGACACTTAGAAAATAAAAAAAGAGTTTTCATATGATTTAGTAATTCCTATTAGTTCAAATCTTCTTTTTCAAAAAAATAGAATGATTTTTTCTTAGGTATTGATGCTTGTAAACATGCTTGTTTGTTGTTCAGTAAGTAGCTTGCTAAGTGCTCGATAAAATGCTCATTTAGTGATGACCTAATTACTATTGATGGAATTTTTCTATCATTAATAGATTGAGATATTTTGTAATCGGGTATACCATAGAAAATAATATATTATTGCAGGAGATAAAAATATTATTTTGTTATTGACTCAATAATGAAATATACATTTTTTTTATATTTCATCAGAAATTTGTTCTTACTCAATATATTTGATTGAATAAGGTTAAATGTTCCTTATAGGGGCAAACTCCTATGGTTAATTAAATCTTAACAATTTATCTCGTGAGAAATTTTTTTATTAAAATAGTGGTTTATGTTGTTTTATTAAAATATTAGCTAACATTTTATATATGAATTTTTTTAGAAATTCTTATTAATGATTTGGTCTTTAAAGATTTCAAAGGGGATTGCATCAACTTGAAATTAATTTTTGGAGTGGAAGTCAAAGGAGAAAGAGATAAGAGTACTTGATTATGAGAAACATAGAGGTACTCAAATTATTATTGTTTTCAAAATCGGACCGGACTGGCCGATTTGACCGGTTCAATCGTGAACCGGTCTTATGCCGGTTTGGTCCTCCTAAAGAACCGGTCTAGTATCTAAACGGTCAAAACTGGTTTGAACCGCTGGTTCAACTGGCCGACCGTTGAACCGGTCCCGCTTCTTAAGAACCGGTCGATTCAACTAATAATATATTTAAATAATTAATTAAATTAAATGATATAAAAATAAAAATCTTAAAAAATAATATTGTATGATTTTATAAATATAGTTTTATAATGTAAAATTTATATATGTAAATTATGCTTAAATATATAACATAAAGCAATTATTTATATCAAATTTATATATTTATATATAAACTAAATTTTTATTAAATATAAATTAAAATCGAAGATTGAAGATGTTTATATTTAAATTTAAAATTAATAATTATTTATATTTAAATATATAACATAAATATAATAATTATTTATATTTAATTTTAAAATTATGTAATATATTATATATGTATGAATTTTATTTATTTTTTAGTTTCAAAATTCTTAAAATTATGAAATTTTTAAGATTAAATTGTCATTATTATTATGTTAATTTTTTTACTTTTAATAATATTATTATTTATTAAATCATTCGGTTCGATCAGTCGAAGCATGAACCTCTCCTTCCGGTTCGTTGTCCAGTCTGGTTTTTACAACCTTGCAAATTATCATATGTTAGACTTTACATTTTAAAATTAAATTTTGGTTAAAGTTGATCAATTTAATTTAGAAGGGTGAAGCTTATATTTCAATAAAACAAGTTATAAGAAATGCCCATAAATGAGAGGGTTTATGATGTAACTAAAAATAACTTTAACCTCTGATCCTAGATTTAAGGTGAGAACCATCGATAGGTAGTAAATTTGACCTAAACCTAGCAAAATGCAAGTGACTTATAAACTTGAAACCCATCTGGAGCTGAGTTAGTATAATTCCAGACTTACAATCTTACTTGGAAAGGATTACTGGTTAACTCACCTAAATGCCTTTACAACTATGCATGTTTGGTCTCAATGTTTATGCAAGATAAGTAAGGTTATTTTTATTTAGAAGATAGAAGTTACAACTCAGTCACTTAAGCCAAGATGCCTAACCATATAAGCATGCAAATGCTGACTCATAATATAATTTTTTAATTTCTAAACCTTAATGTGAGAACTTTTATCTATATTTGATTACTGGGCCATGATATGATCAACATTTTTATTTTGAAAACTTGACTTATTTTTTGTGATAAGCCATGCAATTTTATTAATAAAATGAATGTTATCATATGATTAATTTTAGATTATTTAAATTTTAATTAATAGAAAATTTAGTTTTATCCTAAGAGCCTATCGCATAAAATATGCCAAGGCCACTCCCAAACAAAGTTAGAGAAGAAACCTTTGAAAAAAACATATATTTCTAATGCAAACTTAGCAAATAATCAATCAAATGTATCAAAGTTAGTTATAAAAGAGTACAATAAACTCCAATTATTATAACAACAACAAAAACAAAACCTTTTATCTCACTGCATAGGGTTGGCTATATGAATCATTTTTCTCCATTATGTCATGATAAGAGTCAAATTCTCATTTAGATCTAATAAACAAATGTCATTTCTAATACTTTCTAACCAAGTTGTTTTAGGTTTGCTCCTATCTTTCTTAACATATATTGGAACTAAAACACTAATCTCATAACCGGGTCATTTGAAGGTCAGCGCTTTATATGTTCAAGCCATCTAAGGTAACTCTCTCTAATCTTATCTGCCTTTGGAGATAGTCAACTTTTTCATGCATATAATCATTGTGCATTCTATCTCTAAGTGTAAAGACACTCATCTACCTGAGCATAGTTATCTCTGCAACTTAACTTAATTTCTTGCTTCTCTTTTAATGGCCAACATTTTGCGCCATAAAACATTGCATGCCATAAATCATTTTATTATAACTAAGAAAGAAAAATTTGGTAGCTGAATTACTTGCTTTATGCAACCTATTTATAATTATTGACTCGGCTTGTGAGCCTTCAAGCTTTGGCTTTTGATGCATCTAAGACTTTATTTTTGGGATTTATCTTTCTAGTTCATCGTTCCTGTAACCGTGTCCCATAAGCTCGTATGACTTCTTAAATCTATTAATTACATTTGAAAACAAAAAGACTTGATTCGGCAATTCAAGCATTAGGAAGCATATAATACATGAAGTATCATCACACATATTTGCTTGGCACTCGTAGTACCAATTTAGCTTCTATCCTATTATCCATGCATCTTTAGGTATTTTAAGTATTGAATGCAAGTAAATTTTGTTACAATAATTATAGTAAATAACATTAAGCCTTTATCCCACTATGTAAGGTCAGCTACATGAATTCTTTTTTTCCATTATGTCCTTTTAAGAGTCAAATTCTTATTTAATTCTAATAAACAATGGTCATTTCTAATACTTTATAATCAAGTCCTTTTCATGTCTACCTCTACCTTTCTTGACATGGGCCGAATCTACAACATTTACTCTCCTAATCGGGTCATCAGAAGGTTGATGCTTTATGTTACCAACCATCTAAGGCGACTCTCTCTAATCTTATCTGCCATTGGAGCTACTCCAACTTTTTCACATATATATTTATTTTGCATTATGCCTCTAAGTGTAAAGCTGCTCATCCACCCGAGCATCCTCCACTCTACAACACTTAAATTAGTTTTATGCTTCTCTTTTAATGGCCAATATTCTGTGTCGTAAAGCATTGCAGATCTCACCACCATCTTATAAAATTTTACCTTGTGTTTTAGGGGCGCGTTTTTATCATGCAATAGATTAGATGCATTCCTCTACTCCAACGATCCACCTTGATTTCTACTAATAATATCCCTATCTAGTTTACTGTCAAGTTTGAGCAATAGAACTGAGATATATAAATCATGGATTTTGTTTTATGACTTGATCACCCAAATTGTACTCCATGTATTTTAGTTTTAGATCTACTCAAATAAAAACCTTTAGACTCGAAGGTTGACCTCCATAATTCAAGTTTTTCTTTATTTTTTTTCTTATCTAGTCTTATCAACAAGAATAAAACCATAAGCCAAAAACATACATGACTAAAGTTAAAAATGGGCTTAAAGTTGATCTTTGATGTAATCAAATTGAGATAGGAAAATACTTGGTCAAATCACCTTGTGTTTGAACACAAGTAATAGCTCTTTGCAGACGGCTCTTTATGGTAAATGGTTATGATCGGTCCTCTTATTGTTGGCTTGGCCCAATGGCTTCACAAAAAATATATGGCTTAGCCTAATAACTCCATGTTGTGAGTGATTATGACCGCGACCATCTGATCTGATGGCTTGGTTGAAGGACTCCATTATGTTATGGTCATGTCTAAAGTGTATGTTCCTTTATGGCTAATTCCATCGAGTAATGAATCATATGATATAATCAATATGGCACAAAGTCGTCTGTTAGCTAAGATTGATTTGAATTTGTCCCTTAGACAAACACTCATCCCAAGTCTTTAAAGTATCTTTGTATGAATCAACTATGACTACTGACAAGGATCCTTTGGTCAGGTTGGGTCGACTACTTTCTCTGACTTAGTAGACTAGGGACTATAATGACTCATTAGGATGACAAAACCATAACATCTTGATCGGGTTCATTATTTCTCCCACATTCGCTTTAAGTTTAAGGTGATAAAATTTTCAATTTTAAATATCTAATTATGCTGCTATTATACACTACATACTGAATATCTATTTAATGGCTAGCCTTAATCGAAAGTGCTCTCTCATTATCTTGAGGGATAATTAACTATAGGTACTTGTGCCTATAGGAAATCTAAACTCATATCTTAAAATCCTCGCATATGAGGGTGAAATATTTAGTTAGTGTCTTATCTTTATCTAATTTGCATTCTAAAAATTTCTCCTGAAATATAATTCATTAAAACTACTTGAATATATGAGGAGAGTCCGCGGCCTCCAAAGCTCAAAATTTTGGATCCTATACTGCTCTTGCTTCGTTTCCTTGGAAGAAGCCGCAAGCCCCAGTCCCTGTCACTTATAGCCGCTTGGTCTAACGGGGTCGCACGTAGGGGAAGGCTATTCTAGTTGAACTCCCTAGGCTGCTCATCTCTTCGAAAAGGAACAAACAAAATACGGTGAGCAGTTCGGTTTTGCCAGGTCGCATGTAAGAGCTCATGCTCCATTGAAGAAGCGAACGCAAAATTCCTCTTCAATTCCGCCTTGGTCGCACGCAGGATGAACTCGGTTCGGTGTCTCTCCCTATCACCCGCAAGAAACAAATCCCAACACTGATCTCTCATCTATTTGATTTGCTCACCCAAAGAAGAATGCCTGCTCCTATACCCTCTAGACATCTCAGAGAAAGATTTTAAGCCGTTGTAAATCTCAAAAATCCTAGGAATTGACGGGTACAACTAGAGTCGTTTGCAAATTTAAGGTAATTTAAACCGTTAAATTGGGTTTTTCTGATTTTGAAAGATTAAATTGGGTTAGGCTGAATTGGGTGAACTATTAGAGGCTTGATTTGAGTCCAATGAAATCTGATTTGGGCCCGACTAGACTCAATTTAAACTGAATTGACTCATTTCAATAAATTGAGTCAACAATTACTTATTTGATGATCTATTAATGCATTTTAAAAATTTGTATAGAAATATGACGTAAATATCAAATAAATAGCTGATTATGTATTTTAATTTTTTTTTTATAAATCTTTGAACTTCCCTTCATAAAGCCATTTATGTCTAGTAATCAGCATTTTTATGTAAATTATTACATCAAGCATGTAATTAGTTAGGCTTGATTAATGTTTGATTATGATTTGAATTTGATTACAAAACTAGTAAATAAGTTTGAACAAGGAAATAAATGAATGAGCTCTACTCGTTACATTTACGACCCTACTAATAATGAATTTAGGGGTTATATTTTATTGTTAATTTTTATGCCTCTGTTATCTTTGGTGGGCATTTTGTAATTAATCATCTCAAAATTGTTAGTTTCTCACAGAGAAGGCGAGCTTTAGAGGAATGGATAGGAAAGCTACTCTCTGACATTGATTTGTCAAGAAGTGCTCCTATTGCTACTTTTCTTGAGCTAGAAGCTGCTGCAAGGTCATGTATGTGTTACTTATAGAATTTGAATACAACTTTGTTCATCTATATCTTGAATTCCGGTTGATAAATTATTTTTTACCGGTGTCATCTAGCTTATTTTATGTGGCTATTTAAAGCAATTCTTGGATTAATATTTACTTTTAGGCTAAGTTTATTTTACACTTTCAGGGAATAAACATACATACGTTGTTTAATTATTATTCTTTCCAGCTTTTGAGTATGCCAATGAGCTCACTTTAGAAGCAAGCACCTTAGAAGATGCTCCGTCTAATCTTTCGAGGAGATCCAGTTCAAGTGCTTCTGCCGAGTGTTCAGCAATAGCTTTAATGCCTCAATCGATAGCCTCAAATGTTTCTAATGACAATACATTCAATAAATTTGATGCTGGTACTCTTCTGAAATTAATTCTGATGGATTTGTTTTTTTTTTACTTGAGTTTTGGTTTACAATTTAACTGCGCTCAATAGGAGAAATCAGTAATGGTATCATGGTGGTGCCTGCTATGCCTGATAAACCGGGGGACTTCTTTAACGCTAATTTACCTCAAAGAAAATTCAGCAATTGTTCAGGAGGTGATTCATCATATAGAAATTCTTCCAAGCAGATGTTCCTTCAGAAAGACATTGTTGATTCCAATGCAAACCAGGATCACGACAAGATTTCTTGTCATTCTAGGAGGCTTTCCAGTGATAGTATTGGCAGTGATGCAAGTTCTATTTGGGCTAACGACCTATCAATGCCTGGAGTTACTAGCTTAGTTTGGGATGGTTCTATTGTTCTTTCTGATGGCGTTGTTATCCCAAGCACCATGGAAGCTCCGAGTAATGCAGAAACACAGTTGGCAAATGATGTGCAGATTCTTCTTCCTGTTGATCAGCAGCACAAATTGAATCGAGTTCTCCTTACCATGCAACGAAGATTATCAACAGCCAGAACAGATATGGATGATATTATAGCACGATTAAACCAAGAAATGACAGTAAAAGAGTATCTTACAACGAAGGTTGTCACTGTCCATGATCTTCTTATTATCTTGGCTCATTTTTTCTAGCTAGATAGTTTCTTTTTTTTTTTAACTAGTGTTGCCATGTGTACTTTCCGTTGGCTTACTTGTGTTTGTGACAATCTTCCTTAGTTCTATATTTATTATCTTAGCAAGAAGACCAGCACTGATATTGAAAGGTTTGAATTTAGGTGAAGGATTTAGAAGTGGAGCTTGAAGACACTAAACAGAGAAATAAAGAAAATCTTCAGCAAGCCATCTTACTTGAAAGAGAAAGGTTCACTCAAACTCAATGGGATATGGATGAACTTCAAAGGAAGTACCTGGAGTTGGAATCAAAATTCAAGGTTGAACATGTTTGCTTATCTTTTTCCATTCTCCATTTTTACTTTCATTGTCATTATAGTTTAATAATAGATCATTCTTGTTTAGTTAATATTGTTGTTAATGTGTTTATTCCAGAGCAAACATACTTGTTTAGAGCCGGAAAACACAACTGCAAGCTGCGAGAAAGACATTTTAAACCAAGAGCTGTCTACGAAACAAGAACATATTGCTATTCTAGAAAGGCATATAGAGCAGCTTGAGATGAAATCAAAAGCCGATGTTAAAGTTCTCGTGAAAGAAGTTAAGTTTCTTAGAAAGTCTCAAGAAGAGCTGAAGGAAATGCTAAACCAATCTACTAAAGAAAAGGGCGACTTGGAGGTAAAGAATTTTGCTTTTTCATGATAAAGATTAATTAGCTTACCATCTGCTTAATTAGCTCCTGGCATCCACCTCACCTAGAACCTTTAATAGTACTATATTTGTTTTGAACATAATTCAGCGGCCTAAATATTCACCTGTCAGATGAAGCTCAACCATAATGCAAATGCAACAATCATATGCTTAGTTTCATTTGTAATTATGAAGGAAAAATACAACATGGAAAAGAAACTCGACGTGGTGAGCAGTCAACTCTTTTTTGAACTGGTTAGGAACCAGTGGAATTTCTTAATTTAGCTATAGCATTAGTTAAGGGGCTGTTTATGATTACTTTTTTTTTTCTTATTGTTTTCATAGAGCATGTTTGGTATCTATTTTGTTGCTGTAATAATTTTTGTTGCTTTCGAAAATAAATCAAGTTTTTTTTCTAAAAATACTCAGAAAATCTTTTTTGTGTCTTCAAAATTTTCATTGAAAACCATCTCAACCATTGACTGTTGTAACTGACCACTGGTTATTACTGCCCCTGGATGCATCGCCACATGCAATCACCATCTCATGATATATTCAATAAAAATAAAAATAACATTTATTGAGGATATCAAATATATTCTAATTTTATATTAAAATAAAATAAAATAAAAAAGAAGTGATCCCAAATGGCCCCTACGTTGCCATAAAGTATTATTATACCATTGCACATAATTGTGATTATTTTATAATTTAGCCATCATGGCCTTGTATGAGTAAAACTGTTGGAAACTGCTCTTGATTATTCTGAAAATGTAATTTTACTCAATTTTAGTTATACATTCAAAACAAGCAAATGTTTATGACTTTTTTTTTTTTTTTTTAATTTATTGTTCTTTCCGCCAATTGTTTTAACTTAAATAGCTTGATTGTTTGTGTCAGCTAGTGATGACATTTGATATAATCCCCGCCCACTTTTAATTTTCTTCAGTTAAAATTTTCATGCAAAAAAAAGAAGAATCTATTATTTGTAAATATAGCTAGAATCCAAAATATTCAATTGGATGATCCGTATTGATTCTTTGATCATAAACTATTTTTTAGCATGTATGTGCCTTAATGATGTTGTAATCAAGTGATACTAGGCTCATTGAATTTGTGTCGTTGAGATACTTGATTTAATAATAAGCTTGCACAATTTGATGGTAATTTGGTCATCCAATTATTATTATAAAGTTTTCAATTATATTTTAAGCGCTTGATTTGGGATCATTTTGAGTCAGGTTTGATTATTTTTGGTGTTGTTAGGTTCATCTAGTCTAGAGGTTTAGTTTTATTATACATTTTGTCAAATCGGACTTTGAATGGTTTTGAATTTGTTGACTAATAAAAAAAATAGTAAATAAGAATGAAATTTGAAAAAAAAAAAGAAAACGAAGCAAGCAACGCATCTCTTCTGATCCTTCGTTGCTGGTCAGCTTCGGTTCGCAGGAGGGGAGGGATCGCACAAATCTGTCCTTCAACTCCTCGTTGCTGTCCGATGTCGTTGCTTCGCAGGAGGGCAGAGATCGCACGGTCGCTCCTTCGACTCCTCGTTGCTGTTCAACTTCGTTGCTTCGCAGGAAGTAGAGATTGTATGCGTTGCTTCTTCCGCCCCTTAGTTGCTGTTCGGCTCTATCACAGGAGGTATAGAGATTACACGAGTGGCTCCTTCGACTCCTTTGATACTGTTTGACTGTGCTCCTTCTCCGATCGAACCCAAGCTCCCGAGCCAACTCCACTCAAACCCTTTTTTTATGTATATTACAATATATGATAATATATATATATATATATATATAATATATATATATATATATCATAATATATTATTATTTTTATTTATATAATATTATATATCTAAAAAAAAAGAGGAGACTTTCAAGTAGGTGTCGAAGACCCGCGCCATCGATCTTAGATTTGAGCGAATGGTTTTGAAATTGAAGACACACGCCATTGATCTTAGATCTGGGCGGATGGTTTTAAGATTTGAAGACCTATGCCATTGATTTTTAATCAGGGAAGATGATTTTTTTAAATTTGAAGATCCCGGACCGTCGTATCTTATAGATCCGGCCGGGATGATTTTAATTCGAAGACCCTACGCCATCGACCTTAGGTTCGGGTAGGAAGAAATTACGATAAATGTCGTTCCGATTTCTCAATGAATTGAACAAACTCAATGAATTGAGCACATCTCCTAGTATGGACAAATTCTAGAGAGGTTACAAACACTTATCCTCTAGATCCTCTAATGACTTTTGCAAAACGTTATTGCAATTGAGTTTATTTAAGTAGCTACTAAAAGCGTATTACCAAAGAAATTTCTATAAGAACAAAGGGGTGAGCATGTTCTTCCATTTACTTTTATCCTACTCATCATTCTCTCAAATGTTATATAACATAAATGAGAGCTTCTTGGATGTTATCATTTCATTCCAAAGACTATATTAAAGTGCCTCAAATGTCTCCAAATGAGACTTCTCTTTAAAAGATTCCAACATATGTAACATTAAGTGGAAGACTTTAAATTGTCGTGGCATTTCAAATGTTATTCCCTTTGAAATGTTAGAAGTCTCTGACTATCAAAGCATCACCACTCTTTCTATAGCTAATGAAATAGTAAGACTTGCAATAAATCATCTATCTCCTCCATTAACTTAGAGTTGATTTTTGATCACTCAATGTAGATTTAATTTTAAACAAATTGAATAGCATTTTAAATCCAAGAGTCTTTAAATATAATAGTATTTCAAATCATACAGTTTTAAATAGAGCATTTTAAATGAAAACTTTAAATCCGAGAATTTTAAAAAATTCAAAAGTTTTAAAATTGAGATTAATAAAATTAATTAGAAAATTTGTTTTGGTTAATTAATTAGTTAAATTATGAAAGAAAAAATACAGAAAGAGAAATATTGTTTTTCACTAATCAGACATATACAAGCTCTTGACAAACAACTATAACAATACAAACAAGAAACTCTCAAACAAGACTCTCTAAGCAACAAACTCAACAATCAACTCAATCAACACACACAACACAAATTGAAACTTTCAACACTCTACAGTGACTCCTTTAGCTATCTGTGAGCTCCCTGAATCGTTGCAAGTACCACGTACCTGCAAACAAAACAAATAAATGTTAGTATGTCACAAATAAAAAAAAATCAAAATGCTGGAGAATGGTAAATCTATTACGAGTAAGACAAAAGTACTTGAAAGCAAGAAAAGTCAAGTATTGAAAAACTAGTAAAGTAACAGTGTCAGAAAATGAGTCGAGTAGTGAACTACTGCGATAATAAAAAGCTACAAGTACAAAAAAACTAAAACACTGACGCTAATGTTAAAACTTTGAAGTGTCAAAATCACAAATTCAAACCAACTCACAAACCTTTTAAACTTTCCATGTAACAAATCCTAAACAATTGACATCTCCCCAACAAACACAATGAAATTCAAATCCCCAGGCAGCCTTGTTTATAAAAACTTGGTTATAAGATCTACTACCCGACAACTTTTAAAGGAAAACAATAAGTCCGATCTTATGAAAAAGTTTTAGGTAAAATTGACCTAACCTCTATCCCCCAATTAAAACACCGACCACTTATAATAGTAGTCATAAGTCCGACCTTTGAGGGAAATGTTTAGGTGATAATACAACCTTAGACCTTCTCACTTGGGCATCCTAGTCTATAAAGCTTTGTTGTATGACCAATCACTTGGGCCACTTAGCTTGCAGGGCTAGGTCGTAAGACCCATCATTAGGAAACTTCTAAGGAAGCAATAAGACCACCCAACTGAAATCTTCGGGCTACCTTTAGTAGAGGTTGTAAGTCCTACTAACTAGGCTATTTTCTAATGAAAGCCATAAGTCCCTACCCAAATTTAATCATACAGGTATCTCTTGTTGAAAAATCAAGGAAAAAAGCCTCAAGAGAGAATTCTATCTTTAAATAATGCTTTAAAATATATTAATTATGATACTAATCCCTTGTCGAAAGCATGTGGAATTACTATCATAAGATCTTCTACAAAACATACAAATTCATGGGCATTTTACTCTAAAAGGATTAAATTATAAGGTCCATTTTTTAGGCTATTTCCTAAGGGAAGTCATAAGACCTACCTAAACAATTAAAACCTTCAGGCAGCCTTGCTGTAGAGTCAGGTTGTAAGACCAATCTTTTGGTTAATTCATAAATAGAACAGTAAGTCCCATTCCAAATCAAATCACAGTGTAACTTTCTACGCATGCCGTAAGTCCCAATCTAAATCTAAATAACTGAGTTACTTCCTAAAGAAGTCATAAGACCCGCTCCAATTCAAAATCCTAGGTTACTTCTAAATGAAGTCATAAATCCAAAACTAAATCAATTTTTGGGTATTCTAATAGATGTAAATTCCAAAATATCCAAAAAAATTAAAACCCACATCTAACCACTTCAGTTTACCCGGGATCCCTGAGAGGAGAAGACCCATGACTGCTAACCAGATTCCCTAGACACTATGGTCAAATGATTATTAGTGTTGGTAGATTGAGACCTACGGTATAATCGGGATGACGGAACTATGGGATCTTGATCGGGTTTACCTCCATTTTCCCCATAATTGAGACTAAAACATCTAAAATTTATTCATCCTTAATTGAGAGTTTTCTCTTATGTGTTAAGAGGGGTAATTAACTATGATTGCTTGTGCTCGTGGAAAGTAAGGATCCCAGATCTAATTAAACCCTGACACTACCTTCAGGAGAAATCTGGTTAATTGTAATTTGACTTAAGGGAAATGGAATCCTACAGCTGCAAAGCGGGATTCATGCATTCGTGCTATTTTTCTTGAGCTAAAAAAATTTAATTTTAAAAATTTTCAATCTCAATATGCATCAAGATTCATGCTTAATCAAGTGTATTTATGGTTGATGTATCCTTTGACTGTTGTCAAACCACCGCCATTCAACTAACACTGAAAGACCATCGCCATTGGACTAT